ATGTTGCCTTATTTCAATGTGCTCCTCAAAAAATCTTTCTGCGATATTACAGCCCTTCCTGTGCAAATATATACATTTGGATGTTAATATATATTCTTGAGATAAACATTGTGTTTTATGTTCACATCTATTTGAAGGAAAGCTCTAGAAAATCATATATTCACAAGCAGCAGACTTTTTTACAAACCTTATGTCAGAAAATCTATATTCACATGAAAATAACACATTGAGATGTGATATGCCGGTTTTATAATATTTAATGAGATCCTTTGGCTCAGCTACTCAGGAGTCTGGCTTATGAATTGTTTCATAAACAAATATGTAAGCCAGCTACATATTATCATTCCCATTTCACAGGTGGAAATACTGAGGCGTGGTGCCAATGAGACACACCTCCCAGGAGTTATATTAAACAGCCATGTGCTCAAATTTTTTGAAAAATCAGATCGTAGGGGATTCAAAGACTGCAATGGCAGACATGGAAGGAGAAATACATTCTTTTTACTCCAGCTGTAGTGCCAGTAGGCAGGCAGGCTGCCTGAGCTTGAATTTAGCCCTTCGCCAATCATTCACCGGGGCAAAAACCAATGTGTTTTTGCAGAAGCACACACAGCAGGATTCAAAAAAATAAGGACTAATAATCAAAAATAGTTCTAGGGGCATATCAGGACTTCTGTGAAATTACATTCTGGTATTTTAGGACATTTCAAATTCCCTAATAAATTAAAGATTAGACCACGTGTGTGCCTGCATTTGGAATATATACTTTCCCTTACTAATTCAACATCTGCTAATTTGGTAATACCTGCTCTGAAATCCACATGAATGAACCTAACAGATAATTTTGCCCCTCTTAACGCTTGTGATGTGAAAGCCTGTAACACTTTTGCATAATTTTCCAGAATTTTAGCTCCAGTTTTAAATCTCTAGGACGAAGCATTTTTTTCCTAATATGACATGTGATCAATTTAAGTAACAATAAGTGCAATCAGATGCAATAAGAAGTTTTGTATTTAAGTTACATATCATCAGTATTCCTTATGGCATCAGCTTTTGCCACAGGTGTAGTAGTTGTGGCTTTTTATATTTTATTTTTAATACAAACTGCTTGTACATTGTGAGAAAATTAAATTGCTCTTTCAAGGAGTCAAAATGCAAGTTTCTAGTGGGTTAGTAAATAGAACTACTGTCTGACATACAGAAAGTGTTTTGTTAACACCTAATTTCAGACTCCACATAATAAACAAAAAAAATCCTGCTACTTCCCTCCTCCTTTTTAAATAAACACATGGACAAAACATGTAAGAAAGCAAAACTTCTATTTTTACATCAACAGGATAACCTGAATGTTAGATTCCTTTTTCTGCTTTTGCAAATATTATCTATATTTTGTATCAATGGAAGGCTAGTGGTAAGTGGTATGCTAAAAAAATAAAACTGCTTTGGAAAAATAATTTTAAACATAGTCAACTGAAACAGCTTCTTACCAATAAATTCCCATAAAACATTTAAAAAGATTATCTTGGTAGAACTGACTTAATGAATACTCAAAATGCAAGCTCAAATCTACCCTGTAAAGCAATCATGGTTTTTTAGCAACTATTTTGACCTTAGTGACACAAACAATTAATTCTACAAACTTAATATCAAAATAAAATTCTACATCTAATGCAGAATAATCTGTCAATGTATTTAATCAAGGATATGCTTTTTCTACGTATTATACATTCTAGTATCAAACTCTGATTTTAACAGACGAGAAAAAAAATGAAAGTGAAAACCTCAGAAGTGTACGAATGTACATATATGAGAAAGAACCTCTCGTCGTAAGCCAAAAAAAGCAGAAGAAACAAGTCTGAGCAGATTACCATTTGCATCATATTTTAATAATAAAAATCTACATTCACTTTAGCAATATTTATAAATAGATAAATATCGACAGTAAGATAAAAAGTGCTTACGTTCTAGTCATAGATCTTCAAAGCCGACCTGATGACTTGTGACAGCACCCAATTCATTTATCACCAAGTATATATTACAATATATTATAGAATACTGTCATTCTCTCTTGATACATGGATGAGGAATAGCTCCCTGATTTAAGTCAAACTTCTAATTTCTGTATAAAGATCACAAGAACATAGTTCATCAAGCCAGTAACAAGACTGTCCAAACTCCATGCTATTGCTTATAAGAACCTAATGAAGTATATTATTTTAGCTTGTTTACGTTCTATGAATACACCAATTTGTGATCACAATGCTTGAACAAGACGGAAATTGTGTGTAACTTAAAATTTTTAACTTAGCCCAGTTGCTTTTTGTACATAGTCTAAAATTTCTCATGTTTGACTTTCCCCAGTACATATTCATGCCACAGTGAAAACTTATTTTGTGATTTTACTCAGCTGATATAGCTATTCATAAGCATCAGCATCACTTTAATGCATCTGCCCAGCTGAAGGAAATGTATTAAAACCAGCAATCATTTACTTGCTTCCTTTAGAAAAAGCTGTAACAAACTCGATTTGAAGCTCGCCCCCCCCCCCCCCCCCCCCCACCGACGCAACAGTGAACACACCAACAGACAGTACATTATATCTTACACATATTTAAACAATAGAAAATCTTAAGAATAATAACTGCAGGTACAGTGGGGTGGGTTCGTTCTGTTTTTCTACTTGTCAAAGTTTGTTAGGCAAGTCACATATTAAAAATAACATTTTAGAGAGTTACTACAGTGACAATAATAAAACCAGCCATCATTTACCTCTTCAATCATATTTCAAAAGGTATCAGGTCAAAAACAGAAAAAAAAGAAATAGAAAAAACGAGGAAGGAAAGCAAAAGTAGCATGAAGCTATGCCCATTATCTACAGGACATCCTACTGCATGTTTACTAGTGTTTATGTTTCACATCAACATATTTTATAGCAGGATTTATATGCCTAACTCAAGTTGTATTTAAATCCTATGGTGCAGACCTTACCATAAAATGCCTCTTGAGTCCTATTAACTGTACCCATGGTTTTACTTTGCCTGTCTGCTTATTTAAGATCTAATCACAGTTTTGAAGAAAAGATTGTCACTTCTAAGCCTGTCCCCTCAGAACCTGTCTGTTATTAGTACTCAACTGGATATTTTCATCTTCGGTTGTTATTCTCTGTGGTCTTTGCAAATGTTATCTACTGGAATCTGTGACTGTATGGACAAATTGGCTACAAACGCCTAGGACTGCTGCTTTGAGAAACATGTAAGTGGCACATTATTCTGTTGGCATTTTTTGCATTTTAAAGCGTTCCACTGAAATTCAGTTTTCTAAACATTTTCATCAATTAAATACACTCTCCCTCAATAAAGATCTTAAAATGCTGTTATAATCTGAACACCTAAATAAAGGTGATGGCATGCTTTTCAATGAAAGCAGAATTAAATTTATATATACATATGTGTGTATATATAATTTTATATGAAAATTGTATACATACACAGTGTGCATATATAGATAACAGTGGGTGTATGTATATATATGTGTATATATACATATATATAGATAGAAGCCTGCTAAGAACTTAACGAAGACACTGAAACCTGTATTTCCTCAGATTGTAATACTGTAAGTGCTCAATTGTTAAAACAGAATACACTTGAATTTGAAGCAAGGCACAGATTTAAGCCTTAACAACTTCTCATATTTCAATGTACAACTACTATTTAATTCTCCCACATTTTCTGTCACCATTTAAAATGTTTAACTATAAATGTAGCTAGTGTACACTGCTTAATTCAGCACTAAGAATGATTCAATTTTAAGAGCTATTATGACCTGTTATTTCAGAGGCCCGTACACATGCAATTTATCTATCATGTTAAAACATGTTTCTATAAAACAGGATCTTTATAATATTTTATCTTAGGGGAGACAACTTTCCTTCCATTGATGCAATACCTGACGTTGTAATGAAAAACCTCGGTATTTACAAGTGAAGGGTTTGAACTCCGAAGGTGCTGAGTGGCCTCAGCAGATGAGAGGACCAGACACTGCAGACTTTCAGGAGTTCAGAGCAGGTACTGGCACTCTGCAGGATCAGACCCCAATTGTTTACCAAACAAACTGTTTGGGCTTCACTGCATTAGTGCAATCTGCATCCCCTGATGGGAAGGCAACTCTTTAGGCAGACAAGGTGGAAGGAATTTTGTTTGTGCAGGTTTTAATAAAAGGAAAAGAAAGCTTACAGTGACAAAAATTAATTGATTGCACCTCATAATTAGACGGCATCAGCAGTCAGACAACGGTTTAGTTCTACAGTTTCAAACACAAAAGCAGTTCTCCATTAAGTCATTGAGAAAACAGACAAACTTAAAAAATGTTTTAAAAGTGAGAATGGAAACATACCTAGTGAAAAGCTTCTTCTCTCTTTTCCCATATTTTCAAAATTACACATCCAAATTACACACACGCACAGACAGACAGGCACATGCTCCTTTTTATTTCAATGGTTCTGAACTAGAGCAGCGTTTTTTATTTACACCCACGAGAGCAAAGCATCTTTATTGTGAGAAGTCACTCTGGTCCCTTCGCCCCAGCTCCGACTTTGGAACAATTCATCGCAAGCCAAGCGAAGTCTCAAGTAATGTGGCCCTCTGGTGGAAAGCCTTGCATCACGTCCTACGCGACCGAACCGCACAGTAAACTAACAGATGCTGCAAACAAGCGCTGCCAGGCTTCGGCACAACTTTTATAAATACGCCGCGGGATTTTAATCACCAGGCGAGCGCGGCGGTGTGCACCGGCATCAGCAAGACGCTGCTGCCGCCGCAGAGCCAGGATCCCAGCGTTTCGGCGTTAACGTGCACAAAACGCAACAACAAACAACGCCGCACGCTCTTCGCTTGCACGACACTTCGCATGCAGCATGCACAGAGGGTCTGCGGAAGGGTGCCCGTCCGAAAACAGCCCTTTATTTGTTTAAAAACAAACAGGAAGCAAAACAAACTTACCTGCTGTTGTTGCAGATGCAGCAGTTCTACTGTGCTTACTTCAGTGCTCGTGTCACCACTTGATCTTCCATCTCTGCTGCCAGCATCTAATTGGCTGCTTAGAGTGCTCATTCCATTTTGATTCATTGAACTGTTGCTTATTGTCTCTGTCGCAGATTCCTGCATCATGACTTAATACCTAAAAGTGATTAAGAAGTATCAATTAACACACGCGTTACACCTTCACACTTCCATTATCAAGATGTCCCTCTCTGCCAATTACACCGACAGCATCTTTAGAAGAAGAAAAAAGCCTTGCAGAGCTGTTTACCAAGAAATGCGATGCAAACTCTGCTTTCATACAGCCACTAATCACCGGAATTATGGTTTCTATAAGCAATCTCTGTGTGCTTACATTTCACGGCCAAAATAACACACCATGCACGCAGCATGGTCAATAGCATTTATGAACGACTACGTTTTAAAGTCTACCTATAAAACCAGTTTAAATGAAGGCATGATTTCACACACTGCTCTATATTTCCTATTATCTAGCTTTGACAACCATGGATGACTATACAGCCTTATTTAAAATATTCACTATCTTGATTCTGTCAGAATTTTACAGCATATCTTATGCAAGGCTGTTGTTTAATGATGCACAGCTAATCATACAAAATTAAAATTTTGTAAGGGTGTTACAAATCATATGGTATCAACCAATGATAAATAGTATAATGGGCTTCTCCTTTTTTGTGACTAAATAAAATTTTGCCTCGGAGGCATTTTAAGAAAAAGCTCCTGCTGCAAACACGTCAGATATTGCCTATTTTTTTAATCAAACGGCTGATATTCATTTATTTTTCTGACATTTAAAACATTTAATACTGTCCTTCCTGGGAAGTAATTAAGCTTATGCATGAGCAGCAATCAAACTGTTCACTTGAAGATGACTTAAAACTCAATTTTAACATAGGCAAATAAATGAAAGATATAAAATTAATTTTCCAGGCATGTATTAGATATGAAAGCTGGAAATAAAATCTATCAAGAATATCACTAATGATTGTGCTAAAAACAGCATAAATTATGCATATTACCTTCTCTACAGTAATAAATGTTTTATCATTTTCACTGCATAAATATACTGTACTTTCAGGATAGCAAAGAGATGTCCTGCCAAGATCAGTTGAAATCTTTGCAGTAAATAAAGAACCAACGTGCCCTTACAAACCAGAATTTCAAGGCGCATTTTGTATCTGTAATATGGAAAGGTCAACCTCTTTTCTCAGAGCCACCAAAGTCCTCTCCTGCCCTCGCAGGGTCAGAATGGACCTCACTTTCCTTCAGCCTCACTCCCCATGTACTGAAAGAGTCCCCACAACAACCTGCCTGAGCTGTGACTTTAAAAGACACCTCTGAAGGGAGAGGGATGCATAAGCAAACTCATGAAAAGAAACAAAGCTTGCTGCTTAGCCTAATTATTGAACTTAGTTATTTGCTCACTTGCAAAGTATGAGCAATAGCCTTTCTTTGGGCGGGGGGGTGCGGAAAGGGCAGGAAAAGGATCATTACAACTTCCAACTACGTGCATGGGATATTAATCAAAATGCTGTATGAATTAACACAAACAAGCACCCACAAGATAAAGTAAAAGTATATACTGTGTGAAGAAAGTTAAAATAGTAAAAGATGAGTTATTTAAAGATGGTCTGGTCAAAAATAAACAGGATGCAAAAAACCCAAACACGAACACAGTTAACTTAAAGGAGGGCAGCTATTATAGCCCAGTAAACAAAAGCAGCACCAGATGTGTTTACGAACAAACAGGCCTTCTTAAACACTCTTAAGAACATCATCGAAGAAAAATAATAGAAGTGGAAAATGTGATACACACAGTGATGAATTTTACAAGGCAAAAACAAAGCTAATACTCTTTTCTGAGATTAGGCAGCTAATAAGTATTCAAATTAGGCATAAATTTTACATGTACAATGTTTAAAATATTCAGAGAAAAGGGTCTGATTGCCCTTAGTAGTTATATGAAAATTCTAATGCGGGTATGCCACAACTGTGGGAGCAGGCAGTCTTTTCCGATTTTTACAATATTTACTTTCAATAAAAGGACACGTATATCAGAGTGGAAATCTATTTAAAACACTTCATCAACTGTATCGTTACAAGGATTTGGAAATTCGGGAAATTCAAACATTAATCCTCTTTTAGTCAAACAAAGATTTAACCAACAGACAGGTTCATCTTTTACAAATTCGAACGTTAGACAATAACAGTGGTACATTTAGCCAAGCGCATTAAAAGGGCAAAGGGGTGTAAATGTTAGATAATCAAAACATTAGAAAACACTAAGAAATTTAATAAATAAATACATCAGCCCCCTGTTTTTACATCTCTCTGACTTTTTCATTACAATTAGCAGAGAAGGGTTAAACATCTTCCAGTTCATATTAACCGAAGGGTTTTATGTCTTGTGGATTTTGTATCGTTGCAAAGCCCCAGAGCGTAGTTCGGGCTCTGCATTTTAAGTTAAAGTGTCTGTGAGCCAGCAGAATCGGCTTTAACATAACATGACCAGTAACACTACTCTGGCAATAGAAAACAACAAAATCTGACCCAAGAGCTATGTACAGACAGAATGAAACTATAGAGTATCAATACTAGAAAGGGCAATTTATTTGGAAGTGAAGTGGGAGAAATACTGAAGTGTTTAGATGAAGAAGAATGAGCCCCTAGAATTTTATGTTAAAAATAAAATGTTTTTTTCTAGTTGTAAAAGGGTATTTTTAAAAACAATACAGAAACTTTGGCTTGAGTAAAGCTCTGTGTTGGTTGTCCACAGCCCCCTTCTCACTGCCGGCAACTAAAAATAGGGCTGCTGAAAAATGCAAGAGCACACAATCTTTTTCTTTTCCTTTCTTTTCTCTTGCATGCACACACAGACACGCGTATATGTGTGTATCTATATACATGTGTGTATACGTACCGTCAACTCTAAACCCTCACAAATTAAAGCACTGAAAACACCTAAATGAGGATCATTTCTGGTATCTATGTATCTATTTCAGTTATTGGTGGCAGAATAATTTGAGCCTGCAACATCTTACTGAAGCAAACTAGCATACTTTTTTTCTTGCTTCTACAACAGTAGTGAGGGTTGTTAGCATAATAATCGTAAATAAATACAAAGGAAATACAAAGACTGCCAGATACTAAGGCTGAAAGTTTAGTATTTCAAATAGGACAAGAAAAAGTATACAGGTCCCTGTTTACAGACATTTACACACATTCACACTTCCTAATCCTTCTCTTTTTCTCTTGCTGTCACACTCGCATGTCAGTCACACACGCACCCACATTCACAGACACACATGTTCACCAGCACCTACTTCTGCTCTGATTCCCAAACTCTTGTTGCCAAAGGTGAAATATAAGCTCTCCTACCAGTTATTCTGAACAAAGGCATAGGGAAAATACTTGCTGCTCTCTGCAAGAGAGAATGAAATTGTAGATTATTTTAGCGTGTGACTGCGCTGCAGGTTGAATGCCCAATTCTGCCAGGGTAACCAAGCAATCACCCATACCAAAAAAGAAACACTGGTCCTGCGAAGTTAGAAGGTGCAGTTTTACTTTTCTCCCCTGCAGTGAATTGTACGTTTCCTGTGTGCGCACGCGGCCGGCGAGTCACTGTACAGATACTTATTCTCTACACCACTTCCCTTTTGAAACATTAAACTGACACTGGAACTGACTGCACAAGATTGCATTTTCTCTTCCTAAACAACTTGAATTGAAAGGTTACTTAGTGTAACAATATTTACTTGCAGAATTGTGTTGTTACCAAGGGTATAATGGATGGTGGCTATGCAGGTTTACGCAAGAATGAGTGAAGCATGAGGCATTAGCCATGTGTTTGACATGTTTCAAATTGCTATAATCCAGCATTAAACACACCCAGCAATTCATGCCATTTCTTGCAGCCATAATCTTGAATAAAGCGTGCACAACCACTTATTATATAAATTAGTATATGACTCCCTGTTAGAGTCACAACAGTGCTTTTGTGTTTATTTTGCATCAAGATGTGGTCTTTTATTTGTACAAATAGCAGGATAGAGAGCCGTAGCGCAATTAGACCTCCTTACTTTATGACAGGGCGTACCGAACGCCAGGCTCGCGGGGTTTGTTTTGCCCCGCCAGGGCCAGGTTCCGCGGCCGCCCAGGACCCCGG